CCGTGGCAGTTGTCCCAGGGAGGGCACGTGTGTGATCGTGTCGAGTGTGAGCTGAGCCAACTGCTGTCTTCATAGGGCCCTATTTTTACTATTGTGAACTATGGCTATTCTGACTTCGGCACTGAGCACAGATTTTTTTTGAAAATGAAGTAAACCTGTAACTTCAAGGAAAACAACTGATAGTATTTGTTGCCAATGATAAACTAGCTTTCAAGGAAAAATTAGAATTTTCGGAAAACTTTTGCTACTTTGAGCTCAACAGCTTTCTAAAGCTTAAAAAATGTTTCTGATGACTTGGATAATGTTAATCATGGTGATGTCTTTGGTGCTGTACAATGAAATGTGTCAACTTTTGGAAGATTTGAATAACTCATTTGAACCAGTATTTTCCAAATGACCAATGCAAGGTATTTTATTTTTGTTTTGAAAGTACGTTTATTAAGGCTGGGGACAGTGAAACAAGAAGGGCTTTAGGACAGAAGCGACAGGAGAGCCCCAGTGGGGCTGCTTAGGCTCACTGAGAAAAGTCCCCATGAAAGGAGTAAGCCATGGCGGGGCTGCTGTCAGCGCACTGGAGAGTCAGAGAAGGGGGGCCTTGCAGACAGGTTCAGGGAGCTATCCCAGGACAAGTGGCCGCTGCCCATTGCCCACTGCCCCCTCGGTTGCAAGTCTTGTGGGGTCCCTTAGAGTTTAGGAGATGCATGCCTGTGGGAGAAGAAGAGGGGGAGGGGAAGGTGTTGGTGTGCTCACAGGAGGGAGAGGGCGCCCAATGCAAGGTATTTTAAAATCATGCAAAGGTAAAAAAAATCCATCTGAAGATGGATATTCCAATGGATTTTAACATGAATACAAAAATTTCACTGATAGAGTTTCAGATTCCATGCTGCAGCAAACCTTTTGAGAAGCTTCCACTTACTGAGTTTTTATTTTATTTTAGAGAGGGGAAGGGAGGGAGAAGGAGACGAAACGTTGATGTGAGAAACATCAATTGGCTGCCATCCATACACCCTGACTGGGGACCAAACCTGTAACCCATGCATGTGCCCTGACTGGGAATTGAACCAGCAACCTCTTGGTTTTTGGGATGACCCCCAACCGAGCCACACTGGCTAGGGCCACTTACTGGGTTTTGATGTGATATCAAAAAAGGATACCACAACTATTTGACAAAGTTATTAAAATACACCTCCCTTTTCCAACTATGTATCTGTGAGAGGCCAGATTTCCTTCATATACTACAATCAAACAACATATCTAAACAGACTAAATGGAGAAGCAAATATGAGAATTCCATTAAGGCAGATACTGCATTTTTAAAAATGTAAAACAAGACACCTTCACTAATTTTTTGTCTTGGGAAATAGTTTTTTTTTTTAATATTTTATTTTTTTAGAGAGGGGAGGGAGAAAGAGAGAGAGAGAGAGAGAAACATCAATGTGCGGTTGCCGGGGGCCATGGCCTGCAACCCAGGCATGTGCCCTGACTGGGAATCGAACCTGCGACACTTTGGTTTGCAGCCCGCACTCAAGGAAATAGTTATTTTTCATTAAAATGCTATTCATGTCAACAGGTAATAGGTTTATTACATTTTAGAATTTGTAAGTTTTAACTTTATGCTAACATTGTATTTAAATACACTAAACATTGATAAATATAGTTTAAATAAACAAAAGTTCTCAATTGAACTTTTCAAATTGAAGTCCTCAATTTTTATTTAGAGTGTAAAGGGGTCTCGACCAAAAATTTGAACTGCAAGATGGAGGCATAATGCCACCTACTGGTAAGGCCTGAAATCACTGCCTCTCCTGAAATCCAAGGAGCTACCCAGTTTCCTCTCCTACTTTCAAATACTCAAAGATGCTTTTCTTTGAGACTCAGCCAGGGGAAGGAAGCTGGCAGGGAAGGGGCAGACCGAATGAGAATTCTGCTACTGAGGAGTGATAACAATGCTTCTCAGGGCCTATTTTAAGAACATAAACCACTGATTACTGGAGTGGACACCCGTAGTTCACTGGTGATGAGGTATTTACTTCCGGTGTTTTGTTCATTTCTAACTCCTCAGAGCCTTCTCTCTTCACAGTGTGTTAACAAGCCCTTATTCCTTCGACATCTGTTGCTGTAATGTTTTACTCCCTTAAAGGGGAACTGCCCAGTTGGGCTCATTGAGGTTTAGTCCTTGGCCGTAAAGAGACATGTGAGCAGCATGATCCAAGGTAACTGAATGCTGTGGGGATTTTATTCAGCCTTTAAGTCAGGGGTGTCAAACTCATTTTCACGGGGGGGTGGGGGGGACACATCAGCCTTGTGGTTGTCTTCAAAGGGCCGAATGTAATTTTAGGACTGTATAAATGTTACTCCTTAACTAAGGGCAAGGAGCTCAGCGCTGCCTCTGGATACAAACAAGGTACTCAGCCCGATGAAACAAGGTGGAGGGCCGGATTCAGCCCGTGGGCCTTGTGTTTGCCACCTGTGCTTTAAATTGCTCATGTGGGCTTAGTCTAATGAAGAGAAAAGAATAGTTTGTGGGGGAAGAGGTTTATGTCTTACATGACTATTAACAGTTTCTTGTTTAAAACAATCCAATAGGAAACCGAAGCCATTTGAAGTTTTCTCCCACTTTCCTCTTTTCAACATGATTCATTTTCTTGGTGACAATGGTATGGATTGAAACTGCTGGTAACGTGAAAATTTCACTGTTGTTTGCAGATTTTGAATGGAGGGACTCCAGACATTCCTTCCATTGGCCTACTACCGGGGCAGGCTCAGGAGAATCCAGGCTATCCATACTCTGATAGTTCTTCTATTCTTGGTAAGTGGCATTCTTACTACTTTCCATTATAATGAGCTTGCAACACATCTGGCACAAAGTGAGTTTTAATAATGTGAATGTCAATGTACCAAACACTCTAGTTCTAGATGATTTCATAAGAACAAAGTAAGTTTAAAATTTGTTAAATCTTTATTTCAGAGTTGAGTTTAATGGCTGAGGTCTGATGAGGTGCCCAGGTTTATCCTGGGGACTCAGGAGACTACAGCAGCCTGGACACAGGCTTTCTCCCACCACGTTAGGACATTTAACCTCTTCAGCACAAAAGTCCATGAAGGCTTAACGATAAAGCCCGGAAGGGTGATCAATAAGCATTTCATATGGCATTAAGTCAGTTAGCAATGAAGAGCCTGCTTCTCCCATCCCACCCGTCTTTTTTTTTTTTTTTTTTGTCTTTCTAGATCTCCTTTTTTCCTAATCTCTACTTCCCTAGTTCTTCTGCAACTCCATCCTTGTAATTGGCTGTATCAGAATATTAAAATGAGGTCAACTCGAATGCTTTTAATCTTTACTGTGTTTTAAGCACTGAGTTTCTAAAAAGTTGGGTTTTCCCTCTGAAAAACCCCAAAGTTAAAAAATAGATATAGGTAATGTAGCACCCAAAGTAGCGCCTCTCACCCTACTGTGTTCAGTGTAACTTTCTCGATAAAAGTGTGCTTAGGGATTGCTTACTAAGGCGAACACAGTGTGCTATTACCACTAACCAGTCTTCACCTCCTCTCACAGGTGAGAACCCGCACATAGGCATAGACATGATAGACAACGATCAAGGCTCAAGTAGTCCCAGTAACGATGAAGCAGCGATGGCGGTCATAATGAGCCTCTTGGAAGCAGATGCTGGGCTGGGTGGCCCTGTTGACTTTAGCGACTTGCCGTGGCCACTGTAAACACTACATGTTGCTTTAGCAACAGCTACAGTATCAAAGTGCATTACTGGTGGAGTTTTACAGTCTGTGAAGCTTACTGGGTAAACAGAGAACAGCTTTTATGTACTGTCTTCATAAAAGCCATCTCAGAGCCATTGATACAAGTCAATCTTACTATGTGTAACTGCAGACAAAGTGGAACTAAGCCTGCTCCAGTGTTTCCTCATCATTGATTATTGGGCTAGCTGTGGATAGCTTGCATTAATTGTATATTTTGGATTCTGTTTGTGTTAAATTTTTTTAATCATTGTGCACAGAAGCATCATTGGTAGCTTTTATATGCAAATGGTCATTTCAGATGTATGGTGTTTTTACACTACAAAGAAGTCCCCCATGTGGATATTTCTTATACTAATTGTATCATAAAGCTGTTTATTCTTCCTTGTAAGAATCCTTTACTATAAATATGGGTTAAAGTATAATGTATTAGACAGTTAAATATTTTTAATAAATGTTTCCCTTGTTCTATAAATATTGTCCACGTTTCTAATAATTAGAAAAAAAGGCTACATGCTCCAGGGCTGGATCATCAGTTTTCTACACTGGGTTTTAAGGACGGTCCATGACAGTAACATCTACATCTTTCTGGCCTTCGTAACTGTTCCGGGACTGACATCACTTCCCTGTGTTAAAAGCTTGGCTATTTTGTTAAAATAGTTAATCTCCAAATCATTGCAGTTTTCATTTATGTGAGAACAAAGATGTCACTGCTTAAACACAAAATTCAAATCCTCTTAAATTACAAATTCAAGATTAGATGTAACAGATTAGCTTCTCTACTACAACTCCTCTCCCCTAGTACTCACAACCGTACGGCTTCCAACAGTATGTGACCCCAGGTCCAAAGAACCTAATGCTTCTGACTCCTTCTTGAATTGGGTCACAGAATATCTTTTTTAAAAAAGAAGCATTCATATGAGTAATATGCTAAGTAGGGCAGCACAGTATAATGGAAAAAGAACCAAACTAGTGTCAGAAATCAGCTCTGAAACTTAAGGTTACTGTACATTACTGTACATTAAGGTATTCCACCCTTTGTATCAGGTTGAACTAGAAAATGTTCTCTCTTCAGATTTCACATTGTTTTGGATTTATAGCATTTTATGATCAGTAGGTAAATAAGTGCCTCAACACACAAATACCAAATTGGAGTTCCATGAGCTACTATTTGTTTTCTAGTTATATTGACACCAAGACAGGGAGTCTGCTAACTATGGAACTAAAAATGGGCAAGGTTATGAAGTTGATCAGAAACATGAAAACAATGGGATTTTTATTTTGATGAAAAACGAGTTTACAATCATTTAGTAAATGAAGAGCAAACACTTCATTTTCCTATCTCATAACTCTTAAGAAAAAAATCATTAGTAAATAAATATCTGTGAACAGGTTAAGGGTAAGGCAGACTGGATAACAAACCACCCATGATGTTCACATTCCCTGCATGTGACTCACGCTAAAAGGGCAAAAACGGCACTGGAGATAACTGGACTGTTAAGATGTGGGCACTGAATCTCATTCTAATCATTCAAACATGCCCAATGATAAATACTCATTTTTTGCTCATCACGGGCAGTAAACTATACACATTTTACTGAAGGAATACTTTGATAGAAGCACTTATTTAAGTTACATTGTGCATCACAACTATAAAAATGGCTTGAACAATTCCATTTAACCACCATTTATAAAGTGCAACTATGTAATATTCTGCATTTTATCTGAGGTGTGACAAATGTCAGTCTAGACTGAAAGTACCCCAGTGGCCAATTTCCACCACTTCTGAAAAGATCTAGATGTGTGAAAAAGGACTGTTCCCCCATACAAAGAACCAATTTCACAAACCCACTGGTAAACAAATACATTTATATAACTGGAACCTCAGGATGCTAGAGTTGTACTCATTTAAAAAACCATTCAGCTACCTTTGGTCTTTAAAAAAGGCTACACTGCAATATCCTAAACATTGTTATGTGCATCTCACGATGAAGAGAGTGGCCTTGCAGTGCAGAATGAGGAGAGCGCAACGTCACTGTGAAGAGTAGCATGCAATGGTTTTGAGGAATATCAGCATCACAGCATCGGATTCTGCGCATCAGGATCGAGGTCATTGCTGCCGGAAGGGGGATGGATGGGGAGAATATCCAGCTCGTCCACCTGCGGAGTTGGGTGCATGACCACCAGCTGGTCCTGGGGAATGTCTGCGGCAGCTGCTGCAAGGTTGGTGATAGATTTACTCTTCACGCACTGAAAGTCTACATGCCGACTCTTTCCTTCCTCCTTCTCCCAGGACATTCGAATAAACGGTCTTTGGACGTAGTTGTAAATCACTTCTGGGCGGCCCCCAGGCCTTTTCTTTATTTTCTCTTTATAGGTAGGATAACCTGGAGGAGAGAAAAACTTTAAAAATGGAGGATACAACTTGCACATACATGGCCCTCCAAAACTTTGCATCCAATTTACCCTAGAAGAGGGCTCTTCTCCAGTAGCTCCTAACAAACAGAAATTTAAAAAAGAAGAAAACCAGTATCCATCCCTTTAAGTCATTGGTTCAACAGCCAGAAACTGAAATCCTACTGATGTGATTCACAAACCATCTACCATCCTCTCAATACACCAATCACCTGAAACACATTCTCTGTGAGCAAGGAAAGGGCAGGTCTCAAAGAAAATGGTACGGAATCTAGTGCATCTGGGGCTCCAGCTGTGTATCCTTAATATCCCTGAGCTCTTCCTTCCCTTCACAGGACTATCTGGCCTCAAGATGTGCAATTTACTGCCGCATTTGCCTTCTACCTTCTTTAAACCTAAATCTCATTTTCATATTGCTCTGAGCTGTTCTTTCCTTTTCTGGTTAAATGACAAAGAGGTGTAGAGCTCTCCAGTTTCACTGGTTCTAGATATGGCTGCACCGAGGGAAGCAAAGGCAGTGTTTTAACCCCCATATGTCATGTTCATGGTTACTACTCCCAACTACCAAGCAGTTCATCCAGACTGGCAATTCCAAAGCAGCTTTTCCTAATTAATTATACCTTCCTTCTCTTGGCTCATAATCACTGAGAAGCAGCAAGTCAGGACAATCCTAGTTTGGGAAAATTTTTGGTCATTTACCAGGTAAGGCAATTCTCCAAAGACATAATCTCCTTAGAAATTATCATGAGTCCCTTTCCTCCTTCCTACTAGCAAAAACTACTAGTTTAGACCAGGAAGTGGCAAACATTCTCTGTAAAAGGCTAGAGTAAATACATATTTGAGGCTTGCCTTCCTTACGGTTTCTATCTCAATTATGCCACTGTAAAGTGAAATCAGCCACAGACAATACATAAATGGGCATGTTTATATTCCAATAAAATTTTATAAGAGAACAGGGAATGGGCTGGATTTTGCCCATAGGCCATAGACTACAGTTAAAATCAGAAAAAATAAAAAGACGGTATTGGTAGCTAGTACACATATTTAGCCATGTGTGGGTGTGGGTATGTGGTTAAGGTGAGGAGGGCACATGGGCAAACAGGGTTACAAACCTTCCAACGGCCTTCCACAGAATGGCTCCTGCGCTTCACACATCAACTGCCACCTGAAGGTCAGCACTAGAGATCAGAAAGGCCCCCACCTCTAGTCCCTCCTCCTGGATTCCTCCTGGACTATTACAGAGTCTTTAAAATTCCCATCTCATCATACTCTCCACACAGAATCACTACTCTAACACAAGTGCAATCAGAGTGCGTCCTTGCTTAAAACTACCAATAGTTTTCTCATGCTTAAAGAGGAAGATCCATACTCCGTAGCGTAGTATATGAAGCTTTTTTACAGCCTGGTTCCAAATTAAATGTATTCTCCTTACAGAGGCCACCCTTGTCTTCCCACTCCAAAGTAGCTCCCAGTGCTTTCTCTCTAGCTCTGAGACCAAGCAGCTAAACCCCACTGTCTGCAGGATGACAGAAGACAAGACGACACGCACACACACCGAACTAATGTGTCAGCAACTTCACTTTTTAAAGCCCCAAGTCTTCTCCTGCAAAGACTGTTTCCAGTCATTCTTCCCTGCGTGTCTCAGCAGCCCCTTATAAGTAAGTCCTCACTTAACATTGTCAATAGTTCTGTGACTTCAAGCAAATGATACAATGAAGTCAACACTTTACCACAGGCTAGCTGACATAAACAAGTTAGGTTCCTACAGCATCCCGTCAATGTTGTGATGAAACAACGGAACGACACTGTTCAAGGACCTGAAGTTTTGTGATCTTCAATAGCTCGGCTGGGTCACCAATCAACACCATTATCTCCATTTTCACCATCACAAATGCATATTGAGAAATTACTACATGCCAGGTTTTGCTGTGTTTCTCATGTATCAACTCATTCTGCCTTCACAATAACCCTCAGATGAGGAAACTGAGGCACAGAGAAGTTAAATAACTTGGCCAAGGTCATATACCTACTAAGTCATAGGATTTGAACACAAGCAATCTGGCTCCAGAACCTTTATTCTTTATCCTATGCCATGTTATGAAGATACTTAATCCTTAACTAAGGACATTTTAAAAATCAAAGGCATCTGACATGGCACTTGGAAAAATTCATTTAAGTCATAAAGTAAAAAGCATTCTAAAAATGTATGGGCTTAGTCAAAAGTGCATTAGAACAAGCTACAGCAGAAAAGATAAATACACATCTCTTATATTGCTAGGGAATCTTATGGAATAAAAATTTCTAATGGCCTTCCATATATTTTCTCAGATAAAGGAAGCTGATTTTTGTTATTTATAGGCCTACTACATGACCATTCAAAAATCATTTATCTGAGTTTTTCCTCAAAGTATTCAAACTGTCTTCTAAATGAGATCCAATTTTTAAACCTTGTTTTTTTTCCAAAAGAAAATCAACAGAAAATAGTGAAAACGTCTTACCTTCTATTCCCAATCTAATCTTCTTAAGACCCCTCTCTTTCAAAACTGATTTGGCCACATCTCTGTTTTCAATGTACTTGAAAAATCTATATAATTTTGTGCTATAAATAACTGGAAACAAAAAGACAAAAATATTTTCTTATTAAAATCAAAGAACTGGGAAATAAAAATTTACCTTGATCATCAAAGGGGCCGACAACCCTAAATCCCAAACGGTGGATGCAGTGGTGCCAAAGGGTGACTAGCCAACACGACGGGACGATTCAGTACAGTTAATGCATAAGCAATTCTTAAGTTGAAACAAGAAAAGCTTTAATAACTAATCAGGTAACCCAATCCATAAGAAGAAACTCCTTCTGAAAGATATATCATGTACAGACATTGGTACAGCATCTGCCCCAAGTTCTTCAAATAAGAACCAAAAGAAGACATCAGGACCACGTCATTATCAAGCAGGCAAAGTAAAGGACTCTGCTGTGATGCCTACAAGGCCTCGTTTGGAAAGGGAGGAAAATGCCTTGTCAGAGGGTACAAAATGGATACATCTTACATTTCATGGATTGAGCAACTATTAATAACTTCCCAAAAAGGCAAAGACCCTCCCCACAAACTGTTTTCCATTCAGGCGAAGAGCCCCATTTAATACTGATGTTAAAAATGGCAGATTCGAGCATGTTCTGCCTCGGTTAGTCTGTTTAGAGCAAACTGGCTTTGCAAAGGACAGACATTCCACTGACAACATGTTGAGTCTTCCAAATGTGCTGGGAACTTCAAGGAGTTAGACTGATGGACCTTCCTCGCCTTCTCTCTTTCAGGTGGAGTTATCTCCCTTAAAAGGTGAACTGCAAAGGTTTTTTCAAAAAAAGAAAAAAACACTCACAAACCAAACATGCTGGTTTAAGAGCCAATAAAAGGAAAATACGTATACAGATGCTACTTGTGGGGTAAATTTGTGATTACTAACTACATCCTTAAGATTACTGACATCTCAGGATATTTTTTTGACACCTCAGAGTGGATGGTGTCGTAGAGTGGCTAATGGCACATTTAGGCACATCAGGCTATCTCTGTCCCCTTAACCGCATCTTCTTTAGGTTGGAACATCTTGACACAAAATGAGACACATGTAGACAAGTCCAGTAAAAATGTTTTCAGTCCTTCTATGTGTCAAAGCTTAAGATAAAAAACAAGAAAACAAACCAGAACACATTGAAATGGAAAGCTCGGCAACGAAGGAAAGGCTAGGTAGGTGCTGTGCACTCTCTGTCACTGCACTGTCAGCTCTGTGCTCTGCGGCTGGCTCTACTCTTTTCAAGTCAAAACATTCTGGCTTTAAGTCAAAACTAAAATACAAACAGTAAGTTTGTTCATTCCTTCTTGACAGAAAATAATGAAATCTATTTCTTTTAATTTTTTAGCAACCTTTCATTTTTCCTGTATTTTGTTCAACTTTTTACTCCACATATTATTATAGAAAACCATTGTCAGCAAAGAACCTAGGACTGAGGAAATAGTAACAGAAAGATCTATTACTACAACTCTCCACAAAAGAATCACATTACATTTAAGTACATCATGCAATGGAAACATCTCAATATAAACTCTAAAAAATGCTACCATAATTCATGTTAAAATAATCTTTGAAAATCTTTACAAGTCAAAAAGAATACCTCTTGGAGTTTGTTTTGTTTTTAGAAAAGGGCAAGTAAAATGGAAAAAATCATTAAAGGGTTTTCGTACTTTGTATATTCCTGTACTTTTACTTAAACCCTATCCTCACCGAGTTAACGCAGACGGAGTACAGAACAAGATGCTGGGCTACTTTACCTAGTTCCTCCATCATTCTTTTGACTCTACCTGTTCTCAATCTATGAAACTGGTAAAAAATACTCTACTAGGTTCATCAAGATAAATAATATAAATTTCCTAACAAAAAAGATCAAAAGGCTCTAACTGGAAAAAGTTTGGAAGTGCAGTAAAAAAGTTGTTCACCACTGCCCAAGATATGCTGTTTTGGGCAGAACTACCTCACTATAGTTCCATAAAACTTCTTGAAGGCTCCCTGTATTCTGCAAATACAGATGATATTTAAAAAGAAACATCTTAGAAACTAAAGTCACCTTCAAAATCAATGAGCTGAAGCTAATTTTATATTAAAAAAGTTTTTGATTAAAAAAACAGCTTATTTTGTATGATCTACTACTCCAGGATCTGCTATCTAGGATGCTTCCAAATGCAAAGAAAAACAATCCACCATGATCCAGATATTCATCAAACAGCGAACCACCTCTGTGCATGTCAAGATGGGTGCACTTTCTGGAAAGGGCCGGACAGGAGATACTCTGGGCTTTGCGAGCCATGCGGTCTCCACTGCAACTACTCAACCCTGCTATTGTAGCGCAAAAGCAGCCACAGACAATACATACAACTGTATAAACAGGCAGTAGGCTGGAGTTGGCCCAGAGGCCACAGTTTGCTGATTCCTGGTATAGTTAAGAGTTCAATGTACTTTCTTAATAAAACTTCTTTAATCAATATTATAAAAAAAAATACCTGTGATGATTCAAGAGAGAGAAAACACACCACAATACTTACTTTGTGAATACTCTTCTCCCATCTGGGGTGGATACTCTTCATCCCAATCCACCACGTCATCGTCGGTAAGCACCACTATGTGGCATTCTCGTTCCCCACTCTGGGCACTCGCTACCATGAGAGGCAGGATCATTTCTTCTAGATAAAACTCAAACTGTCTACGAGCACCATCATTTGATAACTCATGCATTAGGGCACCTGCAATGAAACCCACCAAAATATACTGACTTTTGCAGGGCTGGGGGAGGTAACCCATAAGTAAAAAAAGAGCAGACCACACAGAACAGCACATTAGTTCAGCCTCTCTTTTTGGACCCTATAGACAATATTGTGGTTATTCTTCAGTAAACAAAACTTTTACTAGAAAGAGTTCTTATGGAACTGTAGAATTTTACAGAAAAAAAAAGAACCAATAACAGCATCCAACAACCAGCTCCTTCACCTTATACACCATGAAGTCATCTGCCTAAGATAATAAAACTAATTTGCAAAATCAACTAAATCCACCCCATACACACCTCCAGGCCAGGGCTTCCCCCCACCCCCCACTATATCATTCTGTCTTCCATCATGAGATGCAACTATGTCTTAGAGTAGTTATAAGGATATTTTTCAAATTATAAGTATGTACTAAAATAGCTCCCATATTCCACCTCCCACGTTTTCTTTCTCAGAAAATTGTTCACAAACAGCATGAATATTTCAGTGTAAAGAGGTTAGATGAGAAGGATCAACTGGTTTGAAATAAGGAAGCCAAAAGGCCAAGCAAAGCACTACAAGGTACAGGAATTACCTACCTTGAGGATAGTGAAAGATATACTTCACACTCCTTAGGTACATAATGAACAACTTCAATTCCCCAAATACACAAGCACACAAACTCATCTAAACTGACCTAGTGTTTTTTCTTTTATTCTTATTTCAATGGTAATGTCCTACCTCCTACTTAAGGCTCTACCATCTCAGGAACCACTGGGAAGGCTAGAGAATAACGCCAGAGCTCAAATCAGTAGTCTCCCAAGGACGTGTTTCCCCCTACAATGGGTTCTCTAATATATAATAACCATTAATAATACATAATTATAATAAATGATTGATTAAATAATCATCTATATTATTAACCATGTCTCTCTCTAGGCTGGCTACTTCCCATTTTTTAAAATTCTATTTATAGCAAAACTCCTAGATGTATCAACACATTCTCTTTGAGCTAATTTCTGAACCAATTTCAGTCTGGTTCCCACACTCATTAGTCCTGAAAACAGCTCTCACTTTAGTCTTCAAATGCCTTATAGACTGTTAAAGACAATGAACGTCTTTCCATCCCAATCTTACTGACCTCTCGGCTGAATCTCTCTCCCTCATCCTGAAAACGCTCTCATCCCGGAGAAGCTCTGATAACAATCTGCCTGGTGTTCTTTCCTCTCTTTGGCTGTTTTTCTCTAGTTGCCTCTGCAACTCTTTCTCCTCTGGGTGTTCATTAAGTATTGTGTTGTTTCTCATGACACCTTTACATCTTTTCTCCTCTCACCTTATGCTGACAATCCCTAAATTTACTCTAATAATTCTGCCTTCTGTATTCTAGATGCATTTATATCCAACTGCTTTCTGGATGTCTCCACTCAGAAGCCGCCTCACAGGTACCTCAAACTCACTCAATGTATCCCAAGTCGAATTTAATCATTTCTGCATCTCTCTGCAGTGTTTTCAAAATAAGTAACCACCATCACCATCCACTCAAGTTCTCAGAATCATCTTGGAAAAAGTGCCAGGCATTGATGGGCACAGGCACTTAAATATCTGTGGAATAAATAAATGAATCCTTGATTCCTTCCTTGATTCTTCTTCCATCTGTTAATTCAATCGTTCCCCAAGAGCTATTAAGTTCACTTTTTAAATGCATCTTGAATTATGTCATGCTCTTCTCTGGAAGATGATATTTTCCAAAGCTGCAAACCCTCTTATACCACACGCTTTTCTTCAATGTGACATCTACATCTCCTTGCAAGAGGTGGAATCTAATTCTCCTCCCCTTTATCTAGGCTGGTTATACAGACTGACTTGTAACCAAAGGAGTGTGGCAGAGATGATGGTGCATGACCTGCATTTCTGCCCGTCATGGTCTGAGGAATACTTCCTCCCCACACACTTCCTCTCTGAACCCAGTCTCTAGAACTGGAGCAGCCCAGACCACATGAAGAGGCCACATGTAGGTATTCTGTTTGACAGTCCTAGCTGAACCCAGCCTTTGAATCACCCCAGTCTAAGCAGCAACATGTGAGTAGAGAAGCCCCCACCTTTTGAGTCACCTCAGCCCTTCAATTTTTCATAAAATGAGGCCTCTGACATTGTAAAGCAAACAAGCCACCGCTGTCGTACTCTGAATTCTTGACCCAGAGAATAAAAATGACTATACCTTATGCTACTAAGTTTGGAATGGTTTGTTAAATAGCAATAAACAGAACACATTCTATTCCCATTGCCCCATCATAGTCCAAGTCACTGTGAACCCTCACACAAACTACTGTAAAACCTTCTAATTAAACTCCCCCACATTTGCTTCTGCCCCTCTGTCCATGGCTTCGCTCTCTGTGGTTTCAGTTAGCCACTGTCAACCGTGGTCCGAAAATATTAAATGGAAAACACCAAGAGCATTTGAGATCTTGTTCCCCTGTATGTCACCAGTTTAGTTCAAAATAAGCTCTTTAAAAACAGAAAAACGTTCCAGAAATAAACAATTCATACATTTTAAACTGCATGCCTCTCTGAGCAGCATGGTGAAATCTCGCCCTGCCCAGCTCTGTCCCACCCAGGACACAAATCACCCTTTCGTCCAGCATCTCCATGCTGTGCACACTGCCCTCCTGTCGGTCACCAGTAACTATCCGGGTGATCAGGTGGACTGTCACAAGAGTACACTGCTTGTGTCCAGGTTACCCTTATTTTACTTGATAATGGTCCCAAGCACAAGAGTGGTGATGCTGGCAATTCACATAAGCCAAAGAGAGGTCATGAAAGTGTTTTCTTTAAGGGAAAAGGTGACAGTTCTTGACTTAAGGAAAGAAAAAAAAAAATCATAGGCTTGAGGCTGGTAAGGTCTCTGGTAAGACCAAATTTCTGTGAAACTGTGAAGAAGGAAAAAGAAATTCATGCTACCTTTGCTCTCGCACCTCAAACTGCAGAAGTTACAGCAATGGTGTGAGACAAGTGCCTAGTTAAAAGGCATGAAATTCATGGGTAGAAGACATGACCAGAAAATGATACACATATATGAGGTTCACTACTATCTGCGGTTTCAGCCACCCACTGGGGGTCTTGGAATGTGTTTCCCTCAGCTAAGGGAGAAACTACCACAACTCATTTTCCTCACAGCAGCCAAATCTAATTGTGTCTCCTAGTTTAAACCTTTCATGGCTTGTATTACCCTTAAAATAAAAGTCCCAAATCCTCAACCTGATCCATAAAGTCCTAGTATGTGAAAAAGGCAGTTATAAGTGTGTATAACAACCTTTTAAACAAATAATTTTCTTTAAAAAACTGTCCACATATTGATGACTCCCACATATTTAGCCCACATTGCTCCCCCGAACTTCATACATGCATACCCAATATCCACTCAACATTTCCACCTGGATGTCTAATAAGTATTTCAAACTTAACACGCCCACTGTAATTTCATTTCTTGTTGCCCTGGGCCTTCATTCCTGAATCCAGCACCTGGTTCTCAAAACCTCTTCTGGGTTACAGCGCTGGGCTAGCAAGAGAACATGTGCACTGAAGAAATGTACAGTCTGCCGGGGGAGCTGCTACTCACCTTGGATTTCCTTCACATGACGGAAGACTGAGAAGTCAGTCCCTCCCTGTACTAATCTTACTCATGACCCTACAATTCCTTCTGCTTGGAATACGCTTCCACTTCCCTTTCCTCCAAACTGCTTCCTTAAGCCCCCATACCTGACTTGGGTACTATTCCTGCAAACTCCTTTTTAGTAGCCCATTCTTCCTCTAACACCATAGTTTACTTTTCTGTGTTCCTGCTATACTGCAGGCATTATGAGAGCAGGGACGTTATCGTTTCTTGTTGCAATTTATACACCTAATATTTGGTATAAAGTGATGCTCAATAAAAATGCAAAATATGATTACTATGTAACCATTAAACAACTTGTTATTTAAAAACACTAATAATATAGTTAATCATGATATATTTCTACATGGAAATATAAAATAGCATGTACAATACAACCTTCTATTATTTTTCTTTTAATTCACCATTATTTCCTAATTTTGCTACCTCATTTTTCTTTTTTAATCCTCACCCAAGGACAGTATTTCACTGCTTTTAGAGGGAGAGGAAGGCATAGAGAGGAACATCGATGTGAGAGGAAAAAATCAATTATTGCCTCCCATACACAGACCAGGGATCATGAGTGCCCAAACCAGGGGTCATACCTGAAACCTGTGCATGTGCCCTTACTGGGAATCAAACTTGCAACCTTTTGGTCAAGGGACGACGCTCCAACTAAGTCACCTTGGCTACAGCTTTGCTACCTTATTTTCTTAAGCAAACCCTTATTTAACAATATGTCAAGCACTAGTAATTTAATCTTCACAACAACGCAGTCAGATAAATTTTACTATCTCCGTATTAAAGATGAGGCAACTGAGACTTCAGTCAAGATGACACAGCTCGACTCCTCACACAACCATATCAAAATTACAACCAAAATATAGAACAATCACTCAGAATCATCAGAAATCAAGTTGAATGGAAGTATGACAGCTACGGAATTAAAGAAACCACAACCATCCAGACTGGCAGGAGGGGAGGAGACACAGAACGTGCTGGTCCCAAATCCACATGTGGTGGGTAGAAGTTCAGGAGGAGTTATCTCAGGAGCAAGGAGTCCCAGGCCCACACCAGGTTACAGCCCAGAGTTCCAATGCCAGGAAAATAAGTCCCCATAACCTCTGGCTACAAAAACCAGTGGGGACTGAGTTGGTGGAAGAAAACTTCCAGAGTCCCAAGCAATTCCCCTTAAAGAACCCACATAAAGACTTACTCAGACTCATACCCTCTGAGCTCCAGAACCAGAGTAGCGGCTTGAAAGGCACCAGCGGCATATGGGGAGGAACTGAAGTGTCTGGGATCAAGGCAAGAGCTGGGGGACAGCTTTCTCCCAGACAGAAAGTCAGGCAGAGGCCACTCTCCCTTTCCTGAACCCTCCCCCCACAGAGCCACAGAGCCAGCAGGTGGGTGCCATATCTGAGATTTCATCAACCTAACACTGTTTGACCTGCCCTAGAGATCCTGGCTCTGTCCCAGCCATCTTATGCCCACCCAAGCTGTTAACAGTGACTTTTCCATATTAATGACAGGTCTTAGTTCATGTTTCACAACTTCCCAAATCCTCTCCAACAAACCAACCTCAGTAAGTCCCTACCCCTGTACCTCTTGTTAAGTGGTGCCCTGGGCCCAGTACTATGAGCAGCCAGCCCAGATTCACAGCCAGACTTCGCCTGGAAACATCTAAGACCAGCACAAGTAACAACCATCTCAGATTGCTTTATAGCTCATGCAGGGTGGTCCTGGGCAGAACACAGGTGGGGACTGACCTAGGCCTGCACCTCCCAGGAAACTCCAGAGTGTGTACACCCAGTGGAGAGCTACAGACCACACTGGAGCACCACCACCCTATCCCTGCACAGCTGATCCTCCATAGAGGGCAGAGATTGGTGGTCAGAGGTCACAGTCCTTGCAGCTGACTGGTCTAGGGAATCACTCCCATTGATCTGCCAACAGCAACCAAGGCTCAACTACAAGAGGAGGGTGCACTCGGCCCACACAAAGGGCACACCTTGAGTACCCAGCCTGGGTGACAGGGGAGGCTGTGCTCCTAGACCCTACAGGACACCTACTACATTAGGCCACAATACCAAGACAGAGAGTCATAGCAACTCTACCTAATACATAGAAACAAACACAGGGAGGCTGCCAAAATGAGAAGACAAAGAAACATGGCCTAAATGAAAGAACAGATCAAAACTCCAGAAAAAGAACTAAACAAAATGGAGATAAGCAACCTATCAGATACAGAGTTTGAAACACTGGTTATAAGGATGTTCAAGGAACTTAGTAAGGACCTCAACAGCATAAAAAAGATCCAGTCAGAAACAAAAGATACATTACTTGAAATAAAGTAAAATTTACAGGGAAACAACAGTAGACTGGATGAAGCCGAGAATCCAATCAATGATTTAGAACATAAGGAAGCAAAAAACAACCAGTCAGAATAACAAGAAAAAAGAATCCAAAAAAATGAGGATAGTGTAAGCAGCTTCTGGGACAACTTCAAGAAGTCCAACATTCACATTATAGGTGTGCTGGAAGGAGAAGAGAAAGAGTAAGAAATTGGAAATCTACCTGAAAAAATGATGATAGACATGCAAGTCCAGAAAGCACAGACAGTCTCAAACAAAATGGATGCAAAACAGCCCACTCCAAGACACATCACAATTAAAATGCCAAAAGTTAAAAATAAAGAGAGAATCTTACAAACAGGAATAGAAAAGAAGTTAGTTATCTACAGGGGAGTTCCCATAAATCTGTCAGCTGATCTCTCAAAAGAAACTTTATAGGCTAGAAGGGACTGGCAAGAAACATTCAAAGTCATGAAAAGCAGGGACCTACATCCAAGGTTGCTCCTGGATGTAGCAAAGATATCATTTAGCCTTGAAGGGCAGATAAAGTGCTTCCCCGACAAAAAAAAACTAAAGAAGTTCATCATCACCAAACCATTATTATATAAAACATTAAAGGGACTTATTTTTTTAAAAAACCAAAACTATAAACATTAATATGGCAATAAATACATATCTATGAACAATAAATACATATCAAAAATACAAATTAAGCAAACAAGAAGAACAGAGACAGAATCATGGATATGGAAAACATTTTGTTGCCAGACGGGAAGGAGGTTTGGAGGAATGGGTGAAGAGGTGAGGGGATTAAGAAGTACAAATAGGCAGTTATAGATTAGCCATGGGGGTGTACAGTACATAATAGGAAAGAGAGCACCCAAAGAACTTATACACATGACCCAAGAACATGTATAATGGTGTAGGGGTTGCCTGAAGTAGTAGGGGGTGCTGGGTGGAGGGGGGCAAAGAAGGAAAAACTGAGACTGTAATAGGATAACCAATAAAATATAATAAAAAAATAAAGATGAGGCAACTAAGAAGCAAGGTTTTAAGTAACCTGTCCAAGAAACAGAACTCTCCATTCAATAAATATTTAATACTTACATGATTTCTTTTTAAGAGACAAACAGATATTTTATTGTAAGGTGTCATTCTAATATTCAGTAAATGCACTTATTTGCAGGAAAAAAATCATTTTTGGACTCAAACCTACACCCATAGTATCCTTTTATATTTTTATAAGACTATATTTGTCTCTTCACATTCTACATAGTTTTGTTGCAATAAAGTCTATGAGAATCTCTAAATTTTTAGTAACATAAATTATAAGTAATCTAGAGATAATTACAAGTATTATTTAAAAGTCAGAAGTCTAGGAAAACCATACTACATGCATTTTATATAATGATTCTTACCTTTAATTCTGTAACAAATAAATGAAGTCGCTTAAGTGATGACAAGGTAAACTATGTCCAAAGGATTACAGAACTAAAATCCAAATCATGTGTAAGAAATTCTACTTTAAAAAAAATCTGACAGTCACCAAAATTCAACATTATATGAAGTTAACTTAAAATGATTCCATCAATTAAAAAACACTAAAAGTCTAGGATCTATAATTAGCATAATGCAGGGTTTCAACTAAAAAACATTTTTTAAGATGTGAAGAGACAGCAACTTTGTTTCAGGTTTACAGCTGTATGTCCCAGCTGTCCAACTAGTCGACTTTAAACGCTTAAGTATCATTTACAGAGAAATGGACTCAGGGTTGGACCATACAGTGTTTTGTCCCACCTGCTGATATTTTTATGGACACTTTAAAGGATGCTTGACAAAAATAAAGTGATACTTAGGGAGAGACTTAATAAAACCACTCACTTTCAGAGTTAAGAGCATAACTAAGCATGAAGAATAGTTACATTTAAGTATACAGGAGTTATCTTTAAAAATTTAAATAAGCCCTGGCTGGTGTGGCTTAGCGGACTGAGCACTGGCCTGCGAACTGAAAGGTTGCTGGTTCCATTCGCAGTCAGGGCACATGCCAGGGCTGTGGGCCAGGTCCCTGACTGGGAGTGTGTAAGAGGAAACTGATCGATGTATCTCTCCCACATCAATGTTTCTCTCCCTTTCTTTCTCCCTCCCTTCCCCTCTCTCTAAATATAAATAAATAAAGTATAAAAATTTTAAATAAAGTGTCCTGTTCAGTTTCTGACACACTAATCTTTGAAAGGGTATGACACTACTCTGCCAAGCTAGTGCTAAGTTTAGGTGATAAAGTAAAGATAACCATTACGTCTGGGGTAAACACAAAGCTATCACCAAGATAGGAAACTTTTAAAACAGCTTCCCACTGTATATAAAATAAAATGTAAGAACATCAGTTTGGATTAAAGACCTTCCGTAATAATCTGGCCCACCTATTTATTCCTGTCTCCTTCTGGTCCAACTAGGTTATTTCCAAAAGTACTTCTTTTGTGACCCTAGCCAGGTAGCTCAGTTGGTTAGAGCATCATCCTGATAAGCCAAGGTTGCAGGTTCAATCCCTAGCCAGAGCACATACAAGAAGCAACCAATGGCCTTGACTGGTGTGGCTCAGTGGGGTGGGGGTAGTCCCACTAACAAAAAGGTCCCCAGTTCAATTCCTGGTCAGGGTACATGCCTGGGTTGTGGGCCAAGTCCCCAGTAGGGGGGTGTGCGAGAGGCAACCAATCGATATTTCTTTCCCTCTTTCTCTCTCCCTTCTCCTCTCTCTAAAAATAAATAAGTAAAATCTTTTTTAAAAAAGCAACCAATTAATGCACAAATAGGTGGAACAACAAACTGATGATGTGTGTGTCTCCCTCCCCTACTTTTTCTAAAATCAGTAAATAAAAATTAAACAAAAATAGTTTTAAAAACACAAAGTTCATCTTTTATATCTTTACCAAAAAATCCCAGCTTAGAATGACCACGCTACTCGACTATTTCTAAATCATTCCTATTCATTCCTTACTACCTGTAACATCTGAACTCGTCCCTGAACTCTCTAGCCCACAATACCTTCTCCTTCTTCTGAACTTCTCCAATCACTTAACACCCCAGTCAACATTTGATAATGCTCACACACTTCTGTGACTTTTCTGTATATATTCACCCTTTTTTCTTAGGCATACTATAATGGTGAAACGATGAGGGGCTGAGAAAACTGTGAGAGGAGAATATCAGCCACAGAGTTAGCATTCCCAAGCTCCAGACCTTGCTCTGAGACTGTGGTTGAAATTCTTGAATAAAGTCCCTTAGCCTTTTGCATAAATGAGGGCCAGGTATTCAATTTAAGATCTTTAATAACACATACCGCTTTTGAGAATTATCTGTATCTTCCATAGTGACACAGAATATTACCTTACATGTTGGGTACAAAAAAATTATAAGCTTTTCATTGATAAAATCTCAGGAATAAAGCCAAACACCACCACACTTCACCAAAGCCAGGGTTCCCAAGCTGGGAGATAAAAATGATACCACTTCAGGCTTTTCATTCTAATATATTGCCAACTGCACAAACTATTCATACACAAAACAGCATACTTACTGAGATCTCTACATTTAATAGTACTATATTCAAAAGAGATACAAAGATAGTCACATGCTTCTCTCAGTTCAGGAATAGATATGCCATCAGGACAGCGGATTACTCCTGTTTTATAGTAATCCTAAAAAAAAAGAAAGCAAGAATACATAAAATATCTGAAGCATGAAGTGGCCAAAACTTATTATTAAGGTCTAATTGGTTTACTGACTCAACCAGTCATAGAATTATTTAGTAGCAGAGGTAAAATAAGAACTTAAGTCTCCCCATTATTTATACATCTCTTCTCTCTACTATATCATGTTAATTCTTATGTATTTTCCCACTATGAGTTATCTTTCTAAATAACTACCACAAATTTTTGAAGCTTTTTTTAAAGGTAAGAAAGTTGAACAACATTTTAAGTTACTTAAACATTACCTAGAGAACTGAGCAAAATTTAAAGTTCTTAGTAAAGAATTTCAAAGTCATATCCAAGTATTAAAATAATGTAAAACAGAATGCACAGATATTTTTCTTCGAAATACTATCTTTTGGTATTTCCCATATTACTATAATCAATCAGTAGTAATTATTTCAAAGAGCTACTTAATATGTTGTTAGAGACTGGCCCCAGAATTACAAATAAGTTACTCCATAGCTGAGTAACAGAAACTTTTCTTACTTATCAACTCCATTAGAGTTCCAATGGAAGTACAGGCTGCTAAAGGAAGCATTTTCCCAAAAGTTAAGATCTGTCTCAAGGTTCTGAGGCTCAGAACAACAGTAACACAATTTCTAAAGCTGCTGCACCAATGTAAACAAGACATCTCTGGTACTGACAACCCAATCGAGATCAACTACAGTTGAGCCCCAAACAACACCGGACTTAGAGGGGCACCAATGCACCGTGCAGTTGAAAATCCGCATATAACTTTTGATTTCCCCAAATGTAATTCACAATAGTCTACTACTGACTGGAAGCCTTACCAATAGCAAACAGTCAATTAATACAAATTTTCCATGTTATATGTTTCTTATTACTATAAGAAATAATTACATAGTATATAATAATACATACTATTGTAATAATACATAGTATTATTTCTTATAATAAAGTAAGCTAAAGAAGTTAACAAAATCATGAGAAAATGCATCCACATTATTTATGAAAAAAATCTGTGTGTGAGTGGAACCGAACAGTTCAAACCCACGTTGTTCAAGGGTCACCTATACTTTTCCTGTCTTATATCTCAGGATTCTCCCTCCTCTATCCCCCCAAAACTGTTTGAGGAAGCCCTATTTCTAGACTGTGGCAGAAACTGTCATACGCTATAATCACATCTTTATCACTGATTTGAAATTACAAGTAGGGACTCTAATAGTAATTTAAATATTCCTCAAAAATAGAAGGTTAAAACCTCAAAATAAAAATAAAAGTTTAGAACAAAGATGCTAACAAAGATATTTTAGAAATTGATTTTAAACATTCATAAATGTCCATATTGCTGCTTATGTGCAATAAAAATATCAGAATTCAAGTAGCCACATTCATTCTTAGGCAGCAAAAAAATGATCAACTTATTTTATTTAAGAGAATTAAAGAGACAGTAGTAACATGACTCCATGTATGTTAACATTAAACCCTTGAAAGAATTGCCCATGCAGACCTAACAGAAGAATCATCCATTATCCTATCTTTCCAAAGGTCATAAAATCCATTTATTTATATTACTTTTTGTACTAAACAGATGAATTAAATGGTATTTTGAAAACAACAACATCCTACATACTCCCACAAAGATATCCAGATCAAACTCTGATTTCAGTTCAAGTATTTACCAAGAAGTGGTCATATAATTAAGTCAAAGCACATAAGAACCAAGAACTTACCAGAATAGCTCGAAATACAGTGGAGCCAATTCCCTCTGCCACCTCATACTCCCCCTTCTCATTGGGACGTGTGAAGTTATGTTCTCTGCCAGATCCAAACATCCTATGATAGCAAATAATTAATTAAAAGACATAACAATAAGATACTTCCTTCAAAAGAGAAAATTGATTTCATGCACAAAACTAAAAAAGAAACTATAATTTAAGTGTTAAATTATATAATTAAATTAGTTCAAAAATTTTTATTAGAAATTTATTCTGGTAAACATGATTAAGAAAGGAATATTTACTGTATTTCCTTTCGAACAGTAGTATACAGGGGTGGGCAAAAGTTGGTTTACAGTGAGTACACAAAAGTTTATTCTTGTATTATTTATTAATTATTGCATTATTTGTATTACAAATGTAAAACTACTTTTGCTTGCCAATGCAGATTCCCTATAAGCAAAAAATATCAATTGATAAAATTCAGAAGCTAAAGAACATTCTTCCAGCACCCTCTCCCCAGGAAGGAAAAAAAAAAAAAAAAACAATTAATCAAAGGGAAAAGGTCACTGTTACACTAATCTTACCAGAAGAAAAAAAAAAGGGAAACCATATTATTTATGTATCTTCCTTAAAACTGTCATCTTCTTTTCAAAGTTAGTATCATAATGCAGCACATACAATAATCTAAACTAGGAGAAAGTAAGATAGTATAAGCAGGTTAGTTATCTTACTTCTCACAATTTTAACTACAAACGTAAAAAAATCATGTTCAAAATTCTTATATTCTTGCATTCTAGAATTGAAAAACAAAAAATCAAAGGCTGAGTAAAGAGGAATGAAGAAGTTAAGAGGAGAATGAAAAGTTTAAACAAGTGAGTAAAAAGCTCTTAATATTAGTTTATACAATAATACATAAGAAAAATACAAATGGACTTACTGTCTTTTCAGGACATATTATTGGCCTTTAACAGTAACCATTTAGAAAAGAAGCAACTTATAAAATATGCCCTTCAAAATGAAGAATTTAATGCATTACTCCCAAGAAAAATTTTAAATTGTGATTAAAGTTAGTAAAACCTCCTCCAAAAACATTTAGTCCAAAGATTTCCAGATTTGAACATTTCACTGACTATAAAATTTCAGGAAAAATTTGGGGGCCTGCCAAAAGTTTGCCAATGTTTTGTTTTTGTAAGTTGGAGCATTATGTACCATCTGCTATCACTACCTTTTCATAAAAGTCAGGACATTCTAACAAGAAAAAACTAGGAGAATATAATCTCTGAATAAATGATAGTCCTTTAACTGTACTTAACTACATGGAAAATTAAAAAAAGTTTAACCTCTAAATCTGATACCACCATTACTAAAGTAAATATGGCTGACCCAAGTACTCTGCTCAACAATTTCCCAGTTTAAATAGTTTTCCTTTTGTTGAGAGCTGCCATGCTAAAAAAGATGCCTTCTGTGGAAAAAGCCTGATGAGGAAGCAAAGTAAATCAAAGCAGCAGCCCAGCGTTTGGAAATAGCCCCTGTCCCAACAGAGCCCTGGGCCTCAAAGCTCTTGGATCTGCTAGATCACCTGGAAGGCACTTCTGGAGATGCCCAGGAGCCTCTCCCTCTGGATCCCTCCCCAGAAGGCACTATAATGCACCTGCTGGTCCTTCCCTTTCCTCCCCCAGCTCCAGCTCCCACCCAAATCTCAAAGTGTTTGAGCATGAAGGACTGCAGCTGAACCTGTCTTTTGTTAGACTCCCTGGAACCCCCTTCATCTGTCAGGCTGCTGTGCCCAAGAGTCTCCAGGTGCAGCTACAGGACCCCAGTGGGGACATAGTTCCAGCTCAGGGTGGGCTTCCAGGGACCCAGCTCCTCTGAATCCTCAATCTTAACAAGGTCCTGTGGTGGTTAAAGCTGCACCTCACCTACAACCATGTTGATCAGTCAGTGCAGGAGATCATTACAGTGAACAACCTGCATATGGAGACAAGGCAGTAACTGAGCTTCCACTCGCAGCCTTGAAATCCTGCTGTCTCAAACCCCTGGGTTCCCAGATACCTGGAGCCTACAACTGAGGGCTACCAGCAGGTGGCACTCTGGTCCTCTGTTTGCCATAGCTAAAACGGGGGGGTATGGGGGTGGTCCATCGCCCTCCCCCACATGTGATTAAAATCCAAAAAAGTGGGGGGGGGATAAAAATAGTTTCTCCTTTTGTTATAACACATAAACCTATAAAGAACAAAGCTTTTTTATTCCAGTTTCCAAAAGAATGCCAACTGTTTTTTTCTGTTCCTATGAATATTAATTTTCATCCCCAAAGATATGCTTTGTTCAATTACCATGAAAAGCAGCCTTCATCAATGTAACATAGACAGTATTTCAGAAATCAAATACCATGCAATTTTTTCAAATATCTGAACTTTTTACAAAAGATTCAATACACATATGGTATTCAAATTTCAAATTTTGTTTTTAAAGAAAACACAGCCTAACAGCTGAAGCAAAATATTAAATATTTACTTTTTTAACTGTATTTCTTTAAAGTGTAGGTAAAAAGTAAAGTATTAACAAGTCATCCTCCTAATAGCTTCCATCAAATAATCTCTCCTGTGCTACCAAAAAATACATAAAAGCCTATAGTTCAAGTATTTTTCTCAGGTGCAAAGCCAATGTTAAATATTTATCTAGTCAAAATGTAGAGTGTCATATGCTAGCATTTATTCTGTATTCAGAGACACTGACAAATCTTTCTCTTGCCGACTCCCTCTCTCATGCACACATCCCAAGTACTCCTATGTAACCTAAAAAAATTTTTTGTTCTGGAGCTGAGATGGTGTGAACAGAGTCTGCAGGCAGCAGAGGGTTGGCTCGAGGGGCTCCAGGGTTTTGGGCAGGGCCAGTGACCCCTCGGACAGGCCTGTGAGCTGCCCGCATGGATGGCCGCAACTTCCAGCACTGGGAGTGTGTCGCCATGCACTACCAGATGAGCGTGACCCTCAAGGATGAAATCAAGAAGCTGATCTACGTGCATCTGGTCATATGGCTGCTGCTGGTTGCCAAGATGAGTGTGGGACACCTGAGGCTCTTGTCTCATGATCAGGTTGGCCATGCCCTATCAGTGGGAGTACCATACTTGCTGGGCATTGTGCCTCCTCTCTCTTGGGCCTCCTCTCCTTCCCCCGCAACAACATTAGCTACCTGGTGCTCTCCATGATCAGCATGGGGCCCTTTTCCATCGCTCCCCTCATTTATGGCAGCATGGAGATGTTCCCTGCTGTACAGCAGCTCTACTGCCATGGCAAGGCCTACCACTTCCTCTTTGGTTTTTCTGCTGTGTCCCTCATGTACCTGGCATTGGAGCTGGCAGTTCAAGTGCATGCCTATCAGTTATGCTATACAGTAAGAAGCTCCAAGACCCTTGGTTTATCAGCACACAGGAGAAGGAGCATAAATGAAGCTTGCCTGATGGACTGATCTCTGGGGTGAAGCCTAGCCCTCCCATTGAGAGGATAGAGGAGCTGTTCCAAAGTCTCCTTTGGTAATTTTAGCAGCTGTGATGTTGACAACTAGTACAAATTACACCCAAGTTCTGGAAAGCTGCTACTATTGTCATCAGCTGAGGTGGCAAAACTCTATTCAACTTATTCCTGGTTGGCTGGAACTGGGTGAAGAACAGCTGTAAATCAAACTTCAGCTAGTTTAAGTTGAAGCCCTTCCGGATTTTTCTTTAAAGACTAAGTCTCATCCTTGCCTCTTCTTAGTCTTAATCATCCTCTCCATTTCCATCCACTACCTCTTAGCTACCAAGACTGAAGGAGATGGAGAATAAACTAAATTCTACTTCTATCTGTGGGTTTGGGCAAGAAACATTTAGGAGGCTGCTTTCCCTGCAGGCTATCTCTACTGTGAAGCATTTTAATTAAAAAGAACATCAATAAAGGTATCACTGCCCTATCAAAAAATTGTTTTACCTCATGTAAACTTCTACTTCATACATATGCCCCTTCATTTTATATTAGAGTGAACAGAAAAAGATAATGACTTTAAAATTAAAAGGTATTCAGTCAAGTCTAGATTGTCCATACTATTCTCGGACTACAGTTCCAATAACTACAAAACTTTACATTAACCTACTACTCTGGATGAGCACAGACTACGTGACTGCTTCTAATGACTACTCTTTTATTCTACTATTTGCTAATGTTAATAACATTCCATTTTTTAAGTATCAATATCACACTGGCAACTTATGATGACTTTTCAGCTAACCAAACTGTTGGGTTTTTTCCCTTTCAACAAGACTGATAACCTGCTGCATTTGATGGCTGAATTTGGGGGCCTCAAATAAAGGAAACATTACCACTGTTAAATTCACCTTGTTAGACGCAATCTGTGGTTTCAGCCTATAGAAAAGTCTTTTAGAATCTTGTCTTCACTAACTATTTGCTATTCATACCGGCACAACAAAGATCAATAGAAATAAAACCTAGTTCAAAAACTGGCTCTACCACTTTCTAGCTGTATTAACATAATTATTTAACATTCAAAAGCTCAATTCTTTTATCCATAAAATAGGAATACTACATTCCAACAGAGAATTACTGTAAACTTAAATGAAAAATACAATAATGTGAAAGGGTTTCAAAATTAATAATACAAGGAACTGCAATGATACAAACCTGCCCAACATTGTATTTGGCTGTGCAGTAAAAATGGATGGGTCCACAACAAATCTAGTGTTATCCACAATTAGCGTCACTCGTTCTGACGTTCTTACATTCCGTGCTCCTTCTTTTGCATTTTCATACACAAACACCATCTCCCCAGATGTCTTACAGCTACCGTCTGAACTTGACTGACTACTGTTTCTGCTGCTGTTCCCAGCACTGCTACTGGAACCATTTGGAGAAGCCTTTTGAGGACGAGGACTACTTGGACGGGAGGAGCTGTGATCTTTTTCTCGTTCTGAAATAAAAATGTTAAACAGAGTCATGCAAATTTTCTTTTAAAAATTTCAAGTTCCATATATACCTTTTAAAATTTTATTTAGAACAGTTGTTTAAAATCACAGTACTCCTGTATTTTTATCTCAAACATTTTCACAGAACACCATAAATATTAATTTATTTCCCAGGGATAAAATATCAAAATGTTTTTTAAAATAACTACCCTTTGTAGGCTTTAAAAGAGGTGTATAATGTAGTAATGTTGACCCAGACTAAGATAAAAATTCAGGTAAATTTTGTTATTACTCTATTTAATATATAGAAACCCAAGAAACAGAATCACAATAAGTAAACATGAAAAGTTAGTAAAAGATAAGTAAGAATACCAACTTAAACTCTCCTAAACATTAAAAGTATTAATACTGAGAACACAAAATACAAATTTTGGAATCTTTGTGTTAATAAAGGCACTGCATAAACCAGCAATTTATCTCACAAAAAGAAGGTGCTAGAGGAAGAAACAAATTTCACTAGGATAAGAAGTATTTATTTTTTTAAATGACTTTTAATGTCTACCATATTAAGTGGCTTTTACAGCTGATGAGATACTGCTTTCTTTTTATTTCACTTTTGTTTAGTAAAGCACTGCCACAAATTTTACAGGATAACAATTATTATTTATAATTTTATAGGTAGAAGATATTATTAAAACTCAGAATATTTTCTTTAGATGTTCCAATATTCTACATAGGGGAAATAAAACTATTGTGATTAAGTTTCTTTAGAGCTAGATCACTAAATTTTAAAGGTGACCTAAAAATGTACCTCCGCCATTCCCTTAGTTTCATCAGCTTTTGCCAAATTCCTCCATGACTCAGGCAACTGAGAACACTCTGTACAGCTTTACTGATTATATAATTAGATTTGCAGTATCTCCAGAGAGACACCTCCATTTTATTGCCTGTTTTCACAATGCTGGTAGGATCCCAAAAGCAAGATGTGCTAAAGTAATAAAATAATTATATACTTCTACTATCTTCCCACATGCTGAACTCTGCATATAACAAACTAAATTACTCATTTATACTTTTCTGTTGGACTATCAGTACTAGTCTGACTTTAAGGAAATTCTTAAGATACTGACAACTTCTATACATACTTAGACCTTAGTAGAAACGATTTTGCTTTATAATGATGAATTTCCCCATCCCAGGGGAAAATAAAAATGAACAGGTTCACATTACTTACATACCTCTGCTTCAGACTAGTGCTTTGCAATCACATGTAATAACCAGGGGTAATAATGTCCATTTACTGGGTAGGACAGAAGATCTGAGCTAGATGCCAAGAAAGCAAAACACTTCACACCTTCCCTTTCATCTTCTATTTTTATTATTAAAAATATTGTCAAAAATCAAAATAAATTCTCTGATGGCTTTCAATTCTTTTTATCCAGGATGACTAACCAAGAATTCCTATCAATAATTTACTATGATTGACAACCAAATTTATTATTGATATTTATAGTAAACTTACTAATAGTACTTATCACAATAATTTACAAACTATTACAAAATAAACCACTGCTACTTATTTCATAAGATAAAAATCAATTTGAAAAAAGTTAAACCTACATATCACAAATATAAAGGTTTTTCAAATTACTTCTTTTATAAGTGTCCCAGACTCTTAAAAAATTCACTTTTAAGTTTCATTTAGTAAGTTTTGTTTTTTTTTTTTTCACAGCAATAACCAAGCTGAGCTAAAATAGAAGCAACTGAATAAAAGAGACAAGTTAATTTTACCTGTTAGGCACAATTCATTGTCAATATTACTGTAAAAACGTAAATGCGTGCTTTAAAAAATTGTTGGGAAGGTTAGTTGATCTACATACCAACATGGTGCTGTCGTGTAGGAGAAGTAACATTTCTAATACAAGGAGTGAGCTGAGATTCTGTTCTTTCATGAGATGAATCTCGTGATCTGTCACTTGACCTTCGTCTATCTCTTGATCTTTCATGTCCCCCACTAGCACCATGTAGACTCATTTTGGTGTGATCAACAACTCCTTTAGCAACACGTGAGGGAGTGCTGGTGAATTACAAAAGAAAAATAACCATAAAAGTAAGATATGAGATACAAACAGTTTTAAAATTCAATTAACATAAAATTATTAATATTTTGAAGGGCAAGAATCAAATGCTCCTTTATCATTCTGAAATAAACCCATTTTACTTCAACTTCTAGGTTTTATAAATTCTGTAGCACAACATCTTTAAAGATCACATAATCCAACTTAGTTTTAAGGATGAGAAAACTAAAGCTCAGAAAGGTTAATTGACTTGAGAGCAAGTAGTAGAAGTAATAGTAGCAGTAGTAGCAGTGACCGCCCAAATCTCTGAAATATTATTCAAAAGTTCTTTCGATTTCTTTGACTGTGGGAGAAAAAGAGAGGGTAAGAGCATCAACTTCTGGAACTCTTAACTGAGGTATGGGGTAAAATAAAACCAGTCTCCCTGCCAAATAAAATAAGTCTACACGCTAACTTCAACCAACTCATTTTGATTTTGACAACTCTTTTCAAAAAATTTTAAAAGCATTTCTCGAAAAAGCTTAATGGCACCACCTGTGTCAAGTCACAGAATTTAACATTTTAAAACCTCGTATGTAAATTTGCCCATGAGAAGTGAGTAACAATGGGTAAAGAATGATAATTAATAGTCTAGTTGACAAAATTCATTCACACAATTATTTAAGTTAGATGTCCTTGTGTACCACACTGTGCTACATGCCAGGAAAGGAGCTCTCTCAAGGAACTTGATTTAGGTGTAGCAGTAACACATGAACGTGTAGAATTTAAACAATTCAAGAGTTACCCAAATTTCAAATATAAAATGACTAAATATATCTCAAATATGTATACAACTAATAAATGAATGATTGATAATAAATGCTTTAAGATCTCAGAAGAAGAAATCACTACAGATTAGTCACTGTGAACTAGGCACTGACAAATAGGTAAGATTTTAATAATCAGAACACATTATAGGTAGGAAAACTGACAGTAACAAAAATGAAAGAGCCAGACCTAAGGGACTTTGGAAACTTACCATTTTAGCATATACTATGGTTCATTACTTTGAAATATTAAAATGTTTTATAAAAATAGAAGGAATGTCATAGCTTTAGAGTAATAAAGACTCAGAATCTAATTGTCCTTTAATAGGTAATTGCTTGACATGCTGAATATTACTTAATATTCTGGAAGCTTAGTTTCCTCATCTGTAAAATGTAGATCCTATTTACCTTCTAAAGTTAATATGAGGATTAAATGAAATACAAGCAAGTTGACTAGCCTTTTGGTTCATTCCAGTGCCCCCTCCATAACATTACTCTGTTCTCTCTATTTAAAATTTAATCTTCCACTAAAATGTGGTTGCTTTCATTATGAAAATCAGTTATCATTTCGCTCTACCAGACTACAAAGAGTCTATTTACCCTAAGAGTTACTTCTAGGAAAATAAAGGCAACCAACCTATCAGTCTTTATCAGTCATTTGTCTCTCATAAACATACAAGAAAAAAAATTCTATTCCCACCTTCTTTCTAGTGAAAAAGATCAGAATAGGATTGCATCTTTGGAACATACTCCTTTTCTTGAAATAGAACAAATCAAAAGATCCTACTACATTTATGTTAAAAACTTTAAACTAGAAACAATGAATTTTCTGGGTTTTGTCCTAAAGTAGGAAAAAAAGGAGTCCATACAAATATAACAAGGATTATATATTCAAAACAATAACTCCTCAAACTCTTCCGGCTGCTAAGTTTTAAAGGTGCTAAAGCACATTTTCTAAATATAAATCTAATGTATAATTTAATGCACAACATACAAACACAACTACAACTAAGGCATATGCAGGATAAATGTTCAGTCTGAATAAGGGCCAAGCAGATTGATTAATTGAAAAAGCATTTCAGCCAGACATCTCTGTAGCTGAAAGATGAAGTGCCACTAAGCGTTCTGTTGAAATACTGGCTTCATTTCTAAATTGTTTAGATTTTAAATGGATGCAAAAGATGTAACACACTTCCATCCTTTCTCTTCATTCCCACGTGGAATGTACTTTAAATTAGACCTTCAAAATCAGATTGTCATGAAAGACTAATTATGTCCTACTCTATTTAATTAAATAATTTTAGATCATGAAAGCACTCTAAGGGTAAAAATAATTAATGTGTGCAAAATAAAAGGAGGACAAGCATGTTCAGAGGAGATACTTCTGCTCTGTGGTGCATTTAAAAGAATGTGAAACACAGGAATTGAGGACAGGAAAAAAGATGAGAAGTACATAAATCCCAAAATCTGCTTTTAGCCAACACAAAGTAACAACGACTGATTTTACTCTCCTGTCTGAAACAACCCCTCAAAATGGACAAAATACATGAAACAATAGTTTGCATGCAAAGAAAGTGATCCCTCACAGATGAAAAACAAGCCCAACAACTGTCCAAATTATTAACCTTGAGAAAGTTTCCAGATTGAACACAAGGAGGCAAAACCTGGTGACCTTTGAGTTAAGGATACGGAGCTGAGAGGTTTTGGACAATAAGTGACTAGAGTTCTTATAAATAAGTACCAGAGAGAGGAAAGCAGCACAGACAGAAAACCTCAGAGATCTACAGTGAGTCTTCCTCATGTAGTGAGCTCAGTACCAATCAGCACACACATGTGAAGAAACTACACGAAGCTGGAGAAAGAAACCAACTCAAAAGATGAGAGGAAACAATGCCCAGGACTCACACAGGGCCTGTTCCTCCCAGTCAGGCTGGACAACCTCATAATTCATGGGGCACTGGGGAGAGAGCCTAGCAGGGATATTCAATATGAGGCCCGCAGGCTGCATGTGGCCCAGAATGGCCGTGAATGTGGCCTAACACAAAATCGTAAATTACTTAAAACATGAGATTTTTTTGTGATATTATGTGTCGCAATGTATTTAACGTGGGGCCCAAGACAACTCTTCCTGTGTGGCACAAAGACACCAAAAGGCTGGACACCCGTGGAAGAGTCTTGGCTCTGACACAGGAAATAATCAGACCTAAACTGAGCGCTGCTCTAGTCACATCTAATGAATTCTAAGAGCAAGATCTGAAAGACTCAAATTGTTTCCAAGTAACTAAACTGAACCCTAAAACGAAGTTCAAGAATATTTATAGGAATACAAAAATATCCAGCACTCAAACAACATAAAATTCACAACACACAGCATCTAATAAAAAACTGCCAGGCATACAAAAACTGTAGGAAAACATAACCTACGAGGGAAAAAAATCAATCAAAACCAACCCAGAATTGACATATATTTTATAATTACAAAGACATTATAATAGTCTTTATAACCATATCTCTCCAAAAATTATGGCGATATAGAAGATTTTGAAATTATGCCAATCAAACTTCCAGAGACAAAAATGAAGATACTTAAGATTAAAAATACACTTGGGTTGCAGGCCATAACCCCCAGCAACCACACACTGATGTTTCTCTCTCTATCTCCTTCCCTTCCCTCTCTAAAAATAAATAAATAGAATCTTTAAAAAAAAATACACTGAATGGAATGAATAAAGATTATATACATCATAAAAGAAAAGGTTTGGGTACCTGAAGACACAGCAATAGGAAATATCCAAAATGAAACAGAGAGAAAATAGAAAACTAAATAGGGCATAAGAAAACTGTGGTCAACTTTGAGTGCCCCGATATAGGTATAAGTGGAGTCTATAAAGAAAGAGGTTGGGAAGAGAAAAAAAATTGAAGAAATAATGTCTTAAAATGTAATGACAGCTACAAAACCACAGATACAACATGCACAAAACTCCCAAACACATTATAATAAAAAATAAAACACAAAAACAAAGCAAAGCAAAATAAAAACCTGTCAATCTGCACTTGTTATACCCAGTGAAAACATTTTTCAAAAAAAAAAATGGAATACACATTTTAAGACAAACACACAAACAAAAACGAAGAATTCATCACAAGCAGGCCTGCACTACAAGAAAATTTAAAGGAAGCCCTTCAGGCAGAGGACAAACTAATGCCAGGTGAAAATATGAGTTCACACAAATGAATGAAGAACATTAGAAAGTGTAACTACCTGGGAAAATATATAAATTTTTTTCTTATTGTTTAAATCTCTTGAAAAACATTAGTTCAAAGAATAATTATAACAATATAGTGTGGAGTTTATAACATATACTTATTACTATAATAGCACCAAATCTGGGAGGTAAAACATAGAAGTACACTATTAAAAGGCTCTATACTACACATAAAATGGTATACTCTCACTTGAACGGAGATAAAGAGGTATGTTATAAGCCCCAAACTAATCACTAAAGAAACAAAGAATTATAGCTAATAATCCAACAAAGGCAATAAAATGAAAATCACAGATACAATTAATCCAAAATAGGAAAAAAGGGGGGAGGAGACAAGGATAAATGGGACAAATAGAAAATAATCGACAAAACAGACTTAGTATTAACCATATCTATAATTACATTAAATGTTAATGGTCTCAGCTATAAAAGGTAGAGCTTATCTGACTGGATATAAAAGCTAGACCCAATGATATGCTGTCTACAAACCCCTCACACACACATTTTAAATAGAAAAGTACAAGGAGGTTCAATATAAAAGGATAAGGAAAGATAAACAGTGCTAACACTGGTGAAAAGAAAGTGAGAGAAAGTGATATTACTATCAAAGTAGACCTCAGAGCAAAGAATATTACCAAGTCATTTCATGTGGATAAAGGGATAAATTCATTAAGAGCACTTAGTCCCCAAAATTCTCCTGCCTCAGAGCTTCAAAATACATGAAGCAAAAACTGATAAAATTACAAAGAAGCTAGACAATTCCAAAATTATAGTCAGAGGTTTCAACACCCCTCTCATAATATTTAACACAGCAAGTAGACAAAAAAATTGTAAAGGTGAATAAGATTTGAACACTATCAACTGGCTTGACCTGATTTTATAGAACATTTCACCAACAAGAGCAGAAAATTCATTCTTTTCATGTGA